AATAAAAAATTATACTTCAGATGTTAATTTAGTATCAAAAACGTAAAATATTTGAGTAGCCCAAGACATAGCCAAAGATTGAAGCGCCACAGCACTGGCAAAATTTAAATTTGCCGACTGGAATTCTTTCGGATGATTGACGTTTCGGATAATTGACTTTCGGAAAATCGACGCTCTACTGTACTGTAATATAAATCTTTTAAATTCAAAAGTTAAAATATTCTAAAAATAACTTTATCTCCAATGCAAAGATGAAAAATTTCAGTTTTCAGATGTTATACATATTGACAGAAGACAAGACTATAAAAACAAATAAAATAAAGCATTATAAATATTTTTGACATGTACAAAATATCATTGTTACAAATTTAAAACTGGGACTACAGCACAAAGAATACTTTTATATTTTAATGTTTAAATTTGTTTAAAGTTTTGCATAATGGTTTGCAACAGGAATTCCCAACCTGATGACCAGAGATCCCAAACAGATTACCTAGGAGTCAATTACTAAGGGTCATTTGGAAGTCGTTAAAAAGAATTAATAAAAATAAATATGTATTTATTTAAAAGTGTAACAACCACTAATATGCTTTTAAAGTTAATTTAAAAGTTATGTTTTACTTTACTAAATATAATTCAAAATTATTTGTTTATGTTTATTTCATATATATGCAATTTGTTCTTATTTCGTATCAATAGAGAAAGGAGTCAGCAAATTAAAATCAAATTCTGAAGAGGGATCATGTGAAAAACTTAACACAAACTGGAACCCATTGAAATAAAGCACACAAGAAACTTTTCTCATTCCAGAAAATATATATATAAGAAAGAAATGTTTTTGACCTGATTTATAGGCTTACATCAGGTTCACTTACATTCTTAATAAACATTCTTTTTTGAAATTGAGAGTACAAAAATGCATTTGACTAACCTTTTTTAAAAATGCAACTTTTATGTTTGACCTGAAGGTCCAGCTGGAATGATTGAAAATGTTAGTCATTACCAAGGTAATAAGTTACTGGAGAATTGTTTAGAAAAGAAGATTTTACAAGAAGGTTTGGAGCTATAAATATTCCTGATACAAAGTTTTCAATATTTCAGTTTTATGAACAAACTATTTTTTGAAGTACTGTATATAACTGATTTTGATAGTTATTAGTATAATGTGAACCAAAACAAATAACTTGTAGTTCAAAAACTGCATAACATCTTTTTAGAAGGTAATGTAATCATTTAATTATTATTTGCAAATACTTTCATTATATAAATTGTTATAACATTTTTGTTGTTANGTATTTTCTGAGGAAACACTTGTACTTATTTTTTTTAACCCCATTCCCGATAACCCGGCATTTTAACAAACTCGGCCACCCTTCGGTCCCCATTAGGCCGAGTTTTCGAGGTTCTACTGTACTATCATATTACCTGATGTTCACATACATCTGAAATGGAGTGTTGAGAGTCCTTGGTTGGAGAACTAGGAGAGGGATGACTAAAGCATTGGGTGCTCAGCAAGGGTGCCAAAATGAGCATTGGCTGAACATTTGACATCCAGTACAAACATCAGATGAGAGCAAGTTGGAATGTGACCTTTCACTTTTTATACTAACCTTCATCCAATAGAATTATTCAAATATTGATCAAATATCATCTTCCAACATGAGGAAGTCAGGTGGTCTTGTGGATAGACAAGTGAGACATTGCATTCAAACTATCATTTTAAGAGGAACTAAACTGTTTTTCTCCATGAATCAGAAGTGCTTCCTTTTACAAAGAAGAAAAACATGGCACTGTCAGTTTTTATTAAAGTAAACCTAACAAATGGCACAAAAGAAATAAAAAAATTTCAATATTGTAAAATCCAAGTGCAAATTTGAGACCCCACACACGTTTAATCATATAAAAAAAATATCAAATAACTGAGTTTGCACTTAAAAATTGTGAAATTTTGTATGGAGGATTTCCTGATTTCTCAAACCATGTTAGAGTAAAACCAAAAGTTGTGTTGTATGGGAATATCCCTAATTTTCAAATTGTGTTAGAGTAAAACTATGTAACTATAGTTAATTTTCATCATTTCCATGCTCTTCTGCATTTACAATAAGTTTTCATTTTAATGTTGCATCATAATGTTGTCTTCCCAAAAGCATTTTAAACATTATAAACAAGTTTAAATTACAGGCTCATTACCATGAAGCTCATTTAAATCAACGTAATCATCATGCAGTATAATCAAAAATGTTTATTATTGCACCAAATGCACTACTTATGATGATTACTAATTATTGTTTTGAACTGCAAACATAAGACATTTTTCTGTTTTATATAAGTGTCTCTTATGCCTAACAAGTTCCACCCTAGTCATAATGGAATGACTGGTATGGTTGTTAAGCCCAGGGAAAATGGAAGAAAAGAGGTTGATGGGAAGTAGGTTCTTCTCAGAGTTGGTGTGTGAAGGGTGGTTCGTGAGCATGGAAGCAGTCACCAAGTAGATGAGCGAGAGGAAGTGGAAAATGATCATAGTGGATTGTAAAATGAAGGTGCGAGGGAGTACTTTAAATAGTGGAATGAAGATATCCAATGAAATTTCAAGTCTGAGAAAAGGTTGTGAGGATTTAAAATCAAATTCTTTGTCTCTACCATGCAAATCTCTAACAAAGAAGGATTCTTAAGATTATTGTCAAGATTCTAATGTACTACGCAAGAAACCCTTGATGCACTGTACATCCTTCGGGATAAAATTGTCAGCAAATTAACTTATTATTCCGTTACATTTTGGTTTGGTGCCTTTGTCTTGTTTCACCCAAGAGCAGTGGATAAACTCTGATTTATTCTGTTCACTTGTTCCTTTTATTGGCCCATCGTAGAAATTAACAATTTTTTTTTCTTTTGCTTTCGATTTGTTCTATCCCCAATCTCACATAAGTAAAAACGGATTGAAAACAAAGGCATTTTAGAATTGAAAAATAAGATTACTGTTTAAATTTAAAATAATTATTAATTCTATTATAAGCTGTTAGTTAATGAGAAACTACTTATTCTATATCATAAAATTTTTAAGATTTAAAACTTAATATCAATTAATATAGACAGATTACATAAAATTACAAATTCAATTTTACTTATTTCTATCCAGTAAATGCTACAAATAATTCACACTATCACAAACAAAAGATTACTTGAATCTAAAGAAAACATTTTGATTGGCACTATTTTGATCAAGTTAGAAATTTTTTTTATGAAAAATTATTCAGTATGTTAGAAAAACATTAATCTTACACATTAGTATGAAACAATATGAGATCAAAAAGACCATTGAGCTGTGTAATAAAAGTTCAGATTAATTTGTGATGAAAGTTCTATTACAATTTGATTTTTCAATACAAGGAACCAGCATATTAAAGCTGTATGACACAGTTTCAACCATGGCCTGTTCATAATGTTATCATTTATCATGGGCAATAGACAGAAAATAATACTCTGATGTATATTACTGAGAAATTTTAGAAGTCAAGGACTGGATTTGAATCAAGAAAGTGACAGGATGACACTTGTTTATACTGTAAGTCAAAAAAAACTTTGAAAATTCACCTGACAATAAAAATATAAAGAAAATGTTTTAAAATGTTAGATAAAAATTTTCTTTCTTTATACTTTTATTGTCAGGTGAATTTTCAAAAAAAAAAAAAATATATATATATACACACACACACTCTTTTCAACATGCAAAAAAAAATTAAAAACCTAATCTAAATGTATTTAAAATCTATATTTAAAACTTAACTTTTAAGATTATATCTAAAAGGGTTAGATCTATTACGGCCCAAAGGGTTAGATAGCTGGATTAGTAAAAAAATGTGAAGAAAATTAAGATAGATTGAGAAGATAACGATTGACAGCACTTCTACCTTCCTTTTTTTCTTTACGAATTTCCTTTTTCTAAGAGGGTTTTTCTTACTTCTTCCATGCTACTCCTGGTCTGCTCATACATGTCTGTTGGCTTCTCTACTGGGTGATCTAGATTGAAAACAACAAAAAATTTTTTAAGGTGAAACAAATATTTTCATATGAAATTTGGAGATCTATTGACCCAGGTAATACTTTGTCAATGAAATTCTGTTAAGTCAATTCACAATGGAAATGGATTCTTAGTCCTCTTTCAAGTCTTCCCATGCTCACTATCTCACCACCTTCCTCTGACAGAAGTACATCCAATATGACCCCTTCTTCCTTGATACTGTCCCATGACCCTTCTTTTGGAAGTACTGCCTAAGGCCAACCAATACTAGGAAAAGATAGATTGCAAAAAAGAATGGTAGTAGTCCAATTGGAAGGGGAAGAGAGCCCAGAGAGAAAAAGAAAAAATGACTTGATCAAGTCACAATACAAATCATTTGTTATATCACCAAATAAGATATTCATAAAAATGTGTCATCAAATTCTGAAATCAGAAATTATAAATTAATACAGCATAAACAAAGCAATTTATGTCACAATAATTTTCAATTTGCTTAAATGAACAAAAGAATTTTTTACAGAAAGTTATATTAAAAAAAATATTGTCAGTTCTGAAATTTGTCATTAGGATGATTACTAAATAATTTGATATATATTTAATTTGATTACACTTTTAAAATGTGTGTAATGAATTTATAATAAAACTGTAGAAAAATTACCTTTCTGCTTTTGGTAATGGTTCAGAGTTACAAACATTTATGTCACCTCCAATCACTATAGATGATATTTCATCCATTGAAAATTTAGTTTGTGAAAACAGATGGACAGTTTTATTTGACAAATAAAGGGATATTGAAAAAACTCTGGGGGAAAAAAGTATCAATTAAAATAAATATTAATGAATTAATTTTAATACATATTTTAAAACTAATGTAAACAGAACTTATTTCGGACTTGTTATTATTAAAACTTAATTATTATTACATTAACAATATTTATAAAATCATAATCAAATTTAAATATTCAACTTAGCTGTTATTTCATTCTTCATATTTATAAAAGTCATTTGAAAATAAAAACTTGTAAAGTATTACATTTGACCTTTAGGACACATTAACACATTTGGTATTTGCCAAATGCTGAATGTTTGCTTTTTGCCAAAATGTTTGTCACTTGGCGAGCACATGTACACAATTTTTGGCGAGCATCAGTTCAATTTGGGAATGTTTATCCGAGATCTAGAAAATGGACAATTCTTAAGCAATAATTTGTGCTGCTGTTTTTTATAGTTCAAGTAGTTCAGTTCATATCTTAATGGAAAATAATAAAAAATAAAAAAAACAAGCCTAAAAGAAGATTGTGGATGTTATCACTTCTTCAAAACAGAAGAGTTTTGTTGTCTAACAAAAACAACACCCAGAAAAAACAATACATGTAAAGTAAAAGATAAAAAAGAAACTTAATTTGAATGATTATAAAATACAGGTACAAAGATTCCAGCTCAAAGGGTTTAGATTTACAGTCTCTCAAAATCCAATGGTTGGTAGAACAATTAAAAGTTATCACAACTAGAAGAAAAAGAACCTAACAATAATAATTATGTAAATTTTCCTTAACACTAATTCTCAATACTAATTTATAACTAGAAGAAAATATAAAGTAGGGGACAAGTAGTAGTGAAAATGACAGATAGGATAAGAAAGAATACCTGGGTACATGAAGGCCACGTGGGTGCTTCTTAAACATGTGAAGTTGCCGAATTGATGATAAACAAACATCAGTATTTATCAGATATGGGGTGAATGGAAGCGAGGTAGACAGCTACAGGTGCAAATAAACCTGTTTATTTACACTAAATCTTATTCTATAGTTCATCTTGTAAACCGTTGAAGCTGATCTGTAGAATCAATGGTCCCAGGGCGGTTGATTGAGATGTTTCACTGAGTGTTGGGAAGTCCAGTGATGAAGTGTCGAAAACCAAAACAGTCCAAGGCAGTAAGGTGAAGCACTGAAGACTAGTCAGATAACTCATAACATGAGATAAAGAAAAGTTTGCTTTTGTCCTTGAGATCCAGGCTTTAAAAGGATTCTTTCCCCAAATCTCTAGCTATGTGATCGGTTGGTTTCTTGTATCCAGGTAGATAACAGACCATTTTGGGCTATGAAGGGTCAAATTTGACACCACATTTTATTTGATCAAGAGTAATTAATTGCACTTTAAAACTCCTGCTCATATTTAACTATTGTTTCAAATTCTCGCAAGTCCAACAAATCTTCACACTAGATTTCCTTTTAAGGTTATTTAAAAACTTTTTCCCCCCTTGACTAATAATTTTATTCTTTCCTAATTTTATTTAGGTTTCTCTTCCAGTTTTTACAAGCGTTAGAATCAAAGCTCAATCCCTTGATTTGACACTTTTATTAAATTTTTAACACGTGAGCTCAAGTATCGCTTTGGCCTCACACACAAAATACTTGCTTCTGTTTTCCTTTTCTTTGGTTTTTGGGATTTTTTTTGTATATTTGATCTCAATAGCATGTCACACGTTAGGACTCATTAAGCTGATAGACTGGCTGTAACACACTAATTTCAACTGGGAAATTTTGGAGTTCCTGCTTGAAGTTCTAGCATTACCAGTCTCTCTGGCACTGGACACTGTAAAGTCTTTCTCCTTTTTGTGGTCTTCTTTCCTTAAGCACCAGGCCAAAAGTGACCCCCCTTCACCTTTTATGTGATCAGATAACCTTGTACTCATTGTACTGGGGATTCCAGGAAGTGGCTGTTACCTCCAAGAAAGAAGAATTAAGAAGATTAGAAAGTCTAGATTCAATTTATAAAAAAGAATCTTCCTGAATAGGGAAAGCCTCTTCCACATTGTAAAATACACTCTTATAATCCTTCTGGACATCCGGTTTATGTTCAAGTTCTTGTATTTCCTAAAGAACCTGAAAGTTGCAAAATTGATTGGTCATCTTGCTTATGTGAAAGGTGACGACATTGCTCATGTTATATCTTGACATATGCAATCAGATATGGACTGTTTAATTACAAGTCCTAGAAGTTAGAAAGAACAGGAAAAAATGTCAGAAGAACAAAAGCATACAATATGGTGTACAGTCACAAAGCAAATACAGCCTATGAACATCAACACACAATAAACAGGAATATCAAGATTGCAAAAGATCTGCCTTTTAACAGTCAACTCTTCCTATTCAGAAAATCAAAAACCACGAGGACACTGAACAGTTCCATAACTCAAGCAATGATGTGCTTTGAGGATCTGATTATGAAACATTTTTAAAAATGTTTAGTAAAAATAAACTGTTAACTCTTTGTTTAGCACCTTTAATTTAAAACTAGTTTTAAAACTTTTTTTATCCTTATCAAAAAATTAATTAATGACAGTATATTAGGAATGAAAAAACAAATAAATATCAGATAATCAAGAGACTAAAGTCAACTAAATATCTCAATTAATTAGAAGTTTACACAAAAAATGTAGGACCTGGTAAAACAGGATTTTTTAGGTTTATTTTACTGTTTACATTATTAATTTGCCCATAAGTAGTTTTTTTTTATTTTACACTGATAATCATATTTTAAATGCCCAATAAATACAATTGACAGTTAGCTGCAAACAACAACTAGATGATGCTGTAACTATTCTAAAATTGTCAGCAACATTTTTTCCAATAGTGCATAATTTTGTTGACAAAATCCCCCCCCTTTTTTTTTGAGGAAAATATGGCAACCTAAGCTCAATATAATTCAAAAATATTAAAGATAAGATGAGAAATTAATAAATGTCAAACAGATATGTTTGTTTGTTTTGTTAAGTTACAGCAATGCAATACTTGGGTAATCTGTCTAGAGCGATGCCTTCCAAGAGGTCTTTTTAAGGATAACTGGCCCCTATTCGTGTGTTACAGATGTGGAGAAAACCCTGAAAACTCCATGTGGTCAGCACGTCTGGTGAGGTGCGAACCCATGACCAAACTCCTATTGTTAAGGGAACAGAACCGCTTGACTACTGGTGGACCTCAAGCAGAAATGAATTAATGAGCTCATATTATGATGGGCTTTAAAACGCTGGAAAAAAAAGCTAAGAGTTAAGAAAGAGTTAACAATTTATTTTATACAAAACGATATTAATTTTCTTTTTAAATAAAATATCTACTGGTACAGTCGACCCCCCTATAAGATCATTGATTATTGCGTTTTATATGAATTCCATGTTGTACGAGTCACTTAGATTTTACAAATACGTGTACCAGGCTGTGAACGGCTCACGTATTTGTAAAATTTAAGTGACTCGTACAACATGGAATTCATATAAAACGGAATAATCAATGATCTTATAGGGGGGGGGTCGACTGTATATACATACTAAAAGTTTTGTTGAGAAACATTTTTAGATCACAAAGGTATAATCACAAGTACTTTCAATAATTCACATATCATCCAGGATTTGGAACACTATTCCAAATATTGAAGGCAATAATGTGTGAATTATTGAAAGTACTTGTGATTATACATTTGCAATCTTTCTAAGCTGTGATTATTTATAAAGTTCTTCAGATAGTTTGTAACATCATTTTTACAACAAACATGCAAACTACAAGTTTAATTTGTATTAGACAAACAGGATTACAGTGGAACCCCGGTTAACGAACGTCCTGGTTAACGACCAAATCGGTTAACGAACTTTTATTTTGCAAAAAATTTGTCTCGGATAACGAACGTAACGGTATTTTGTGTCAAATTTTAGTTGGTGTTAGGCATGCGTGAGTTAAGCATTGCTTTTCCGAGTGTTTGCGCTATGCTTCTTTTTTCAGTTTTGTGATTTATATATTTAATCAATATGGCATCCAAGAAAGAAAAAAGTCATAGTGGCAATAGAAAACGACAACGCAATATAAACGACAATGCGCTATCGCATTTGAGAAAAATTTTGATTAAAATAGTAAGACAATCAACTTTAGATCAATTTCTT